ACTTGTTTTAAATAAGCCCAACGATCTGTTAAGGATATTTTTCCACCTGGTTTTGTTGGTTGTGGTAATGGTGGAAAAGGTTGAAAACGTTGAGTTACATAACGAGATGAATTTGTAAGATGCTTTAAATGTATAAGAGATAAAATTAGAAGAAAAAATAAACTATAAAGATTAGATACGTACATCAAGGACAGAAAGAATATCTTCAAAACCATATTTTGTATCATAACGCATTGAATGCGGAATGCCAAGTTCGGCAAGTAACTTAATAAGAAATATAAAGATAAAGATAAATGTGTAAAAATATTTCTTACTTCATTAAGATTTTCTACGAGACCTTGAAGTGTATATGGCTTTACACGATTAATCATACTTGAATTTGGTGTATGATTTACAGCCATCGGATGTGCTCGTAGACTAGATGTTGAAGCTGGTTGTTGAGTTTGATAATGAGAAGTAGGAAAACGATGAGAGGGTAATGGTGTTGCTTGCCAATTTCGTGGTGGTCCTAATGAATTATGTGGATTTTGTTGAAGACTATTATCGAAAAATGACGATGATGCAGCCGACATATTACTAGGAGTACCATAAACATTTGATAATGGACCTTTTTTACCAGCAAATACCGAGCCTTTTTTCATCTTTATTATTTCTTAGATATATATTATTATTTTATGATTGAATGAATTGATTGCATCGACAAAAGCTTGACTCATACCAATACCGAGATATTATCTTTGTCCAATGTCGCCATTAGTACAGTATAACTTGCCTCACTCAAATGAATTTGAATAATGAGTGACATCTGTATAGAGGAATTATGTTAAAATATGAAAGAAATGCATTGCTGCAGAACACTCATTACTTAAGAAATAAAATTTTTTTATTAACTAATTATAATTAGAGTAGTATACATACTATTTTAGTAAGATGTCAGTATTACTAGAGCAGCATAACCTTTAAATTTGCACTATACATTGATATTTAATACAAAGGACGATACATGAAATGTTAAACTTTAATGGCTTTTTTTTTATATCTCAATGAAATTAGCTTATTACTATAAAATATGATTTAGTCTATAAAATATTATACAACGGAAAGTCCTTCTGTAACATAATTCTAAGTTCTGATGAATGAAATCTGTATTTCTATATGACAACTTGTTGTAAATTGTAAATTCTATATATTATTTTTGTTTTGTCAACTTCAACACCAAACAGATAAAGCTTATGGATGTGTTTTATTTTTTTAGAAAGATCGATTGAAGTTTATAAAAAAGGCAAATATATAGCTTCATATTTTTTTTAAAGTAATTTTCCAGCGTCTGTAACAAACAGAAGGGAAGTTTTAGTCACTGTTTAACTATACCACTAAGAAACTAAAGTGTAATAGAACTTGAGGAAAATATAAGCGCTTAAGAATATTTCTACTAAAGACTATTTCGAAAAATACACAATATACCTTCTGTTTTTTATATGAATATTCATTAAATACAACTTGATATCACCCATACTGCTGCTGTTCATATACGTAGAGCATACCAAAAGTAGTAGCGCCATTTCTATAATACTCTAGAGAAACTTGAAGAGAATTTTAGTCGATATGCAAAAGTGCTTGCAACATATTTTGGCTTGAGTAAACGATAGAATTTCAAGTTTTGTTTTAAAAAGATGTGTCGTGAGATACTCTACAAAATCTACGGAAATAAATCCTTATTGACATGAAATATTTAAACAGCTGCCTTGTTTTTGTAGAACTTTCAAACTACATTGATGCGATTTCTTCATTTTAAGTATAAAAATAATCGCCAGCACACATCAATAAAGCTTTGATTACGTAGGTATTGTAGTATTTCACAACGTATCTTTTTACAAAAGAAAACTTCAAATTCTATCGCCTATTCAAGTTGCAAACACTTTTGGATATCTGCCAAAATCTCCTGCAGGTTATAGAGCTGTCGTCACTACTTTTGAAAGTGAAACTATGAATTTTTCTACGAAAAAATAAGTTATATTTATTAAAAACTAAAATTTTCTCTGTACAATAAAAAATCGATTATCATAAGCAAGATATTGTTTTAACGATGAGCTAATTGGTAAATTTTGTATATCATATGGATAATTATTTAATCGTTTGAAAAATGCCACTCGACACATTGATTTTAATAATAAATTTTTATCTTTCGATTGTTTAATAAACATTTTTACAGGTTCTTTCCAATAAATCCAAACACGACGAAATATATGTTCATAATGAAAATTTTTAACATCAACATCTGGATTATTATAAATACATTCAAATAAACGAAAAAATTTTCCATATAACATTCGCATTGTTGATTGTAATAAATCATGTTCTTTATTTTTTAATGAATGATCTTTAGTCGAACATGCATTTTGTGCTAAACGACTTTGTATTTCAACTTGAACAGTTCCTAATGCATAGATAAATTCTGTAAGAATTTCTCCAGCTTGTATACTCATTTTAAATTTATCGAAATCATGTATTAATGTTGATAAACGATTTTTATATAAAATACAACAAAGATTAACATGATG